TCGATAAAGTTCAATGTCGTGCATGTTGTTTGACGTTCCTAACAGAACCCAACAGTTGGCTGAGATATATACCCGTGGGATCATTCGACTCCACGGAGTGCCCGTTACGATCGTATCAGACAGAGATCCCAGATTCGTCAGTCGATTCTGGCACAGCTTGCATGAGGTGATGGGCACGAAGCTAGAGTTCAGTTCAGCCTATCATCCGGAGACGGATGGTCAGTCAGAACGGACTATTCAGACGCTTGAGGATATGCTTCGCGCTTTGGTTGTTGACAGGGGTGCTAAGTGGGAATCACTGTTGCCGTACGCCGAGTTCGCGTATAACAACAACTATCATTCTTCCATTCAGATGGCTCCTTACGAGGCACTTTATGGTCGCAAGTGTCGTTCCCCTCTCTATTGGGACGACGTTGGAGAACGACGAGTACTCGGTCTTAAGATGATCGAGGAGACAGCGGAGCAGGTCGAGTTAATCAGGCAGAGACTCAGGACAGCTCAGAGTCGACAGAAATCTTCCGCCGATCATCATCGACGAGACATTCAGTTCGAGGTTGGCGAGCCAGCTTTTCTCAGAGTTCGTCTGATTCGTGGAGTTGTACGATTCGGAAAGAGAGGGAAGCTGCACCATCATTTCATCGGTCCGTTCGAGGTTCTCGAGCGAGTAGGCGAGGTCGCGTATCGTCTAGCCCTACCTCCCGAGTTATCAGGCATTCATAATGTTTTCCATGCATCGATGTTACGTAAGTACGTGTGCGACCCCGATCATGTCATCCCTCATACGGATATTCAGGTTCAGCCAGATCTATCGTACGAGGAGCGACCGGTAGCTGTACTAGACCGTCAGGTTCGTCGGCTCCGGAAGCAAGATATTCCCCTCGTGCGTATTCAGTTGGATCGCCACGGAGCTACTTGGGAGGAGGAATCCGACATTCGCGCTCGTTTCCCAGATTTTCAGTTCTGATGTACATATTTTTTTTTTCCTATGTACACAATTCAGGTATATCAGTTATGTTTTGAATTTCCGAGGACGGAAATTTTGTAAGGAGGGAGGATTGTAAT